ACTTTGTTGAGATAACCGGGACTGGTTTGTGGAAGAAGGGCGAGATCTTTGAAGTTCCCTCAATTCGTAACCAAAGATGGAGGAGAGTTTCTCTTTAGCCTGGTTGATGATATAAGCAGGAAGTGAACGATGACGATAGTTTTTAGTGACTAATTGAGAGAGCTCTTCCCTTTTAATTGGACATCCTGAGTTCTGATGCGTTTTAAACAGTATGTAACGAATTACTTCTGCAACAAGCTTGTCTTTTTCCTACCAAAAACAAAATCAGCAAAAGAAGCCAACTTTTTAACAGATTGGGTTATACATTTCCAAAGGTATTAGCAGAAACTGAAGCAAAAGAAGAAAAAAAATACCTCTTTTGATATGTCGAATTGAGAGAAACCTTCACCGGGATTTTCCATTTTGCACTAAGGACGAGAGAGGGGGTTAGTTTCGTGTCTGTTTGGTTGAGAAGAATAAAAATCCTCACGGGAATTTGGAGAAAATAATGCTAAAAAACTTAACCCTAAACACTTCAATGTTGGTTGGGGCCTGGGGGAGAAAGTTGAGAGAGCGAGGAAAGCAGTAGGGTACTTTGGGTCGAATAAAACTCGACTTAAATAAAAAATATTTTTTTAAATTTAACTTGATCTTATAATTTTAATTTAATTTGATTAGAGTTATAATTCCATAAATTTGATTTAATTTAAAAAAAGTATAAGATTAGAGACGAATTGTAAAATAGGATTCGAATAATTCGGAATTTTAATAATTAATGGGTTAGTTTTTTAAATTCGAGTCGAATCACTCAATTCTGTATGATACATAGAAAATATGAAGAAATATATATATATATATATGATTATAGAAATTCGTTTAAATTCGAATCAATTAACTCGATATTATACGAGAATACCGTCGTAGCTTCTTAGCTAGTTTCTTATTGTTTATTTCTTCTTTTTCATCTACGGTATTCAAAAAAAAAATTCTTAAAGATGCCTTCTAATTGCTTCTATCTCTACCCTATATACTTGCTTTGTTTCTGATAAAAAAGGGTAACTTACAAATTAATAAGTGAACTTTCTTCTCTCTCTTATTTTGATCATTGCTCTTTAAAACTTTTCAATTTAATAATTAAACCTTATACATTGGATTTTTTTGTCACTCCATCCTTTTCTCAGTTACACTTTGATAAGGCGACCGTTTTAATATGGTAGTACGTGATTCCGTTGAATGCTAAAACTCCATCTTCAAGCTGCCCATCCTTGATTGCATATCACCACTTCAACACAGGTGCCGTGAATACATCCTTTTCATCCCACTGGTACGGGGCATTTATCAGAACTCAGCCAAACTGGATACCTTCATAAACTCAATTTCACCATGCGTGTAAAATCATGTGTTGATGATGAGCCACCGTCGAAAATTCGTGCTTGGTGGTCGTATACTCCGTCATCCCTAACGAATGCTTGAGAATATGAAACGGATGAGGCCCGAGGGATCTAAAAGGGTAAGCAAGAAGTTCTTTTTGTTCGTCTTCTCAGGCTTCTCATAGGGAGACCCTCCTCTTTCTAAGACCAAAACATTGGTGGTTTAGACGGTTGCAACCAAAGGACAACCAATGATTCCTCCACTTACTATGATGTAGTCGTGAAATGAGACTCGAGGAGCTGAGATTGATTCTTGAACAAAATGTAATGTGGTGATGCAAAAATTAATAATAAGATATAGGGTGCTTTAAAAGATGAAATTTAGACTTCTTTTAGTCAAATACTCCCATATCAGAATAAAACTACAAAATCAGTAACAATGTAATAGTCTTCTGCAGGCACGAGCCATGCATCGTCGAAGAAATTTATTCCTAGCAAATCATTTCAAATTTAAATCTATCTACGTTAAGACACTAAATCGAAACCATGATGTTAAATATCAAGTATCCATGCAACCAACACCAAACCTAGTTTATGGTAACACAAGGAACAAGACACTGCAAATAATCCCCACCATTAGTGGAAACCCTCCATAACTTGATCCATCTCATTTTTGTGTCCTTGAAAAACACAGTTGGTAACTCTATGATCCGAGAAAGCGGTCGTCATGAACACCAACACCGACATGCCGGCATGAACGAAATCCATAAGTCCAACCTTGTACGTGTTGTCTTTCGGGGATTCCACTTCGAGATCAAGCTCGAAAAGGGTCAGCCCTCTAGGCGTCATGAAACTTTAGTAAACCGTCTTGTCGGGACCTCAAAAACTGTCGGTGAAAGAGCTACGTTGTATTGATACGGATACTGGGACAAGACGGAAAACGACAATTCCTAAAATTACAGGGTATGGAACAGTAAGGGTACAACATATAATTTTTTTTAAAGATTATAATAGATGTAAAATGTCATAAATAAAGTCAACACTTCACTGAAAATAGAAAAAAAATCCATAAGTAAATCACAATATTAGAAAATAAAATTCATAAAATCAATACTTCATAGAAAATTTAAATCCTAGATTTGAGAATTTTGGCCTAAATCCCTAAATTATTTCCGTGACCAAATTGCAATTATTGCAAGTATGTAACTTGTTTCGTAAACTCTAGAATATTTGAGGACTAATTATGTGATTATACCATTTTATTATAATCACAAATCCCAGCTTTATTTTAACTTCCAGCCGTGCCTCCCCTGTTTATTTTTCTTCTTCCTTTATTGATTCACGAACGTCACTCGCCCACATCTCGTCGCGTCCCCGACGTCCTTACTGAGCTAAGGTAAGTAGGTCGCCGTTCATCATCCAAAAATCTCCCATTGTGACACCAACCCTCACCGTCGATGTGGGGCTGGGTTGATATGGAACCTGCGAGCTTTGGCTCCTCTCATCAGTAGCTGTCATGGGTCGATTCGACCGCTTGGAGACGCATGTGATAGCCACATGCCGTCCTCAGGTAAGTCTTGAATGTCCCCGAGTTCGTTCAACCGTACCCCACCACATTGATACGTTTACAGTACGTACCCCAACGGTCTCCGTGTTGGGATGTATCATGTACCTGAAACGAGATCCTTTGCCATCCCGTGCTTCATAGGTGAAGTGTAAGAAGAAGCAAGAGAGAGCACAGAATCCTAAGAGGGAGTAAACCATGATGGTATATGGATGCAAAAACATCATGCGTGGTAGTCGAGGGGGAGAGGATATCGGTGTAGGGTTTCCTCGTGGTGGTGTTACAGTGCAAACTTTGATGCCAATTCCATGGTCCCATTTTATTTTAGGGTGCTGTTGTTACAACATTAAAACGAGCACGATTTTTTCCTGTTTCTTCTTTTTTCATTTTGACACCAGCTCTTCTACCGTAAACTATCTAAATGGTCACTTGGCTTTTAGGGTGCTAATGTTTTCATCATCCAAATAAAATACTTTCAATTTAGCCATCATTGTTGAAGTGTTTTATTATTTTGGTCACCTAAGTGATAAAACCCTAACGAGGATGAACATTTTTGTCACCTAACTTTTAGACGTTAACATTTTGGCCACCTAACGGTGATTAATGTTTTGATGCCTAACGTTAGTGCCTAAAGGTTGGGTGGCCAAAACGTTAACCATCGTTAGGGATTTAACACTGGATGACTATAATGATAATTTTTTTTAACGATGATAACTAAATCGAGAGGATTTTATTTTGAATAATTGAAATATTCACAACATTAACAGCTCAGTTAACAATTCAACCAATCAACTAACAAACACACCTGCGTTTAACTAACTCTTTAACAGTTGTGATAATCCTATGATGAACCTTATCATTAATTTTTTACTGTTTAATACTTTGGATTGACCATAGATTGTATATAATTATGAAATCATGCCTTTCGAAGTGAAAGTAACATTTGTTCGAATTGCACGAACCATCTTACCTCAATGGTTAAAAGGAATTGTTATTATTCCTAGAAGTCATGGGTTCGAGCACCAGCGATTGCAGCATGGTGATTGAGCGTTCATTGTCAAATGGTTGAGAGTGTTTAGAACATATATTACTTTGTAATTACCTTAGCTTAATAAAAAACATTTGCTCGAATTAATGGTAGGTTGAAGTGTATTATATATTCACAAGCTTGTAACTATTTACTTCTCTAGCGTTGTTCCTTGTGATCGTTTGGCATGTTGCCATCAGCTAATAATTCAACAAAGTGCAGTGGTAGACACTTTGTTGAGGGAAACAAATTGAATAAAAAATTATTTAAATATCAACTCAAAAAACATGACAACGGTTTGAGCAAAATTAGATTACAACTCAAAAAAGGGGAATGTAGAATATCAAGGTTTTAGTGGTAATGAGAGGTTCATATTCTCAAAGATTTATTGAATTTAATATATATTTATACTATGTGGCATGTTCTTAAAGCACGACACTTTCTTTTTCTTTTCTAACTTTAGATACCAAATTGAATAAAAATTTCTTTAAATATCGACAATGGTAATTCGGTATAACATTGAGGGCCAAAATTACATTTAAACCACGATTAATAGATTTACAGACATAGAGGTGGAGTAGAGTGCAGACTGCTGAGCTCATGGTGTCGTCGGAATTTAGAACGGCAGACCCAAAAAGAAAAGAAAAGAGAATAAATTCAAGGTTCAACGATAACTGTTCCTTTGGTTGGTGAGTCTCCGGACTGACCCGAGCCTACATTTGATTTTAATTGATAAGTCTCTCAACAGAATTTTTTTATATATACAAGGATTTGAATTTGAGACATTATTTAAAGGATATCAAACTACTTATCACTTGAACTAATCTCGTTAATTAAAATATAATTGTTAATTATATAGTAGGGTTAAATTTTTATTGGCCCTGATCAAATAAAAAGGCTAATGTTAGTGAAACTTTAGTAAAAAAATATAATTTAGTGACTAAAATAGAACAAATACAATAAATTGATGACTAATAATACAGTTTATCCATTTATCCTCTCATTATTTCAACTCGACTCGAGAGAGAGTGTACAACCTTCCACTTCCAAAGCTCTTAAAACTACTTTTGCTGTCGTTGTAGAGGAATCGAAGACTATTTTTTTTTCTTTTCATTTAATTAGAAGCATTTATTGTGTTGTTTCATGTTTAATAGTTTTGAGAGTGGAATTAGAGAAAATCCAAACAATAATGGAGAGAAGCACTCCTGTGAGAAAACCACACACTTCCACTGCAGATCTTCTCACTTGGTCCGAGGACTCTCCTCAACCCGATTCCTCCGCCCGCCCTCACCAGGTTCTTCTTGTTCTTCTTCTTTGAAAAAAGTTCTGTTCCGCTTGTTATTTGTGTTTTTGATTGATTTGTTTTTTTAATTTAATGACAGCCGTCTGATGGGATCAGAAAAGTGGTGTTTGGAGGTCAAGTGACCGATGAAGAATTTGAAAGCTTAAACGGTGAGATCTACTTCGACTTCTTTCTCTCCTTATAAAACTCATCTTCTTTTTCCTTTTTTTTTTCATTTATCTGGAAAGATTTTTAAGCTCCATGTTTATATAAAATAACTTTCAGAAGCTTCGAGGTGTTTTGTATTTTCTAAACTAAAATGGAAATCTCCACTTCAAATAACAAGCGCGAAATTTAAAACTTCTGAAGTTTGATTGTTCTGTTATCATGATCTATCGGATCTCCGTTCTGATCCAACTGTTGAAGGAGATCTAACAGTACCAACTGTAACTATTTCTAATGTACCTAATAATAACGTCTCCGTGAATCTAAAGTTCTCAGTGCTTCCGAACTTAGTAACGCTCTGCGAGTTGCAAGGCTCATTGATTTTAATATTCATATCTACATAGCATTTCTTTTGCCAAGATTTTGATTGTTTATTGGCGCTTGGCATTCTTATGTAAAGCTCGGTAATGCTGTTCAAAATTTGAACAAGATTAAGATTTTTAACTGATAAGCCCTTAAACTTGTGGGATTTGAAAAGGAATTTGTGCCTTCTTCGTTTCTATTCATTTAGTTTTAAGCTGCTTATTCATATGTCGGAATTCCAGGAAACCTTGTTCCGGAGATAAAATGGAGTGGGATTTTTGGAGCCAACGGAGAAAATGATGAATCAGAACACGGCACTATTAATCCTGCTTCAAACGGCAAAACTGGACTACGAATGTACCAGGTATGCTTTTCCTAATTCATTAATAATATTTTACTAACGTTGATCCATTGTGTTAATGTGGCGATAGGATGCTAACGTGGTTGTCCGCGTGCGACTGATAATGGGATAGAAAAATCTTAATTGATTGATTTAATTGATTTTTTAGGCATAATTGATTGTTTAACAAAGTTCGGGGAGATAATTAATTTTAGGGTAACATATATATAAATATTTCCCAAACTTTTAGGGTTTTTGTATTTTGGTCACCAAACTTTTAAAATTTGCAATACAGTCATCAAACTTTTAGTTTGATTTCAATAAAGTCTTTATCGTTACTTTCCGTTAGTTTTGCTGACGTGTCACTTAAATGCCGTTAACTCCTCTCTCTCCTCCTCCTCCCCCTCCTTCCATTGAAATGCAAATCTAAGAAATCCCACAGCAAAAATCAAAACGAAAAACAAAATCCAAGGACACCCATTCCCCAATTGCAACAATTTATCCATTACCCCCCCCCCCCCGAAAAAAAATCAAGCAGAAACTCATTTAAGAGAATCCATTACTCTTAACATTCAAGACTCATTTTTTCTCTTTACTCATAAAATCTAACATGATGAAACAATATCTTTTAAGTTTCTAGGCTTGATTATGGTATGCTCAATTTGGCTAGTTAGATAGATATCCCTAGGGGGGGAAATTGATGAAACATTTGTCTTTATGATCCATTGTTTGTCCTTGAATATCAAGATCCAATTTTTACTTAAATCTACAAAATTCCAAGTTTCCAACAAATTTCAACAACAAATCACCAGAAAATAATACTATTTTGATACCATTAAAATGCAAGGAAACAATAATCAAATTTAACACACCAAATTTACTCATGAAATCTAGCAACACATTCTCTTTTTCACCATTAAAAATGAAAAAAAGCTCCCTTTTTCTCTCGTTAGAATTGCATAACAAAATAAAACAACTTCAATATCCCATAAACCTTATCCATAGAATGAATCAAAAGCCCAAAAACTCATTTTTAATTTCCAGAAAACATCTTGTCGTTTTTCTAAATACCAACACAATAAATGGGGAAAACCCCAATCTTTACAATTACCAAAGATTAAAAATCAAATTTTAAACCAAAGGGTAATAAAATTAACCTAAAGACATCAAACCATATTCAAGATAGGGTTGGCGGGATTGGAGTTTTCGTTTTGATTTTGCTGTAAGATTTATTGGATTTGTATTTTAATGGAGGAGGAAGAAGAACGAGGAGGAGCAGGAGGGGAGAGAGAGAGAGAGGAATTAATGGCCGTGAAGTGCCACGTCAGCAAAAACTAACGGGAGATTCAATGACTGTATTGTAAGTTTTAAAAGTTGGGTGACCAAAATACAAGCTCCCTAAAAGTTTAGGGACTTTATATACTTTACCCTTAATTTTAATTGAAAGATTTTACTTAATCTTTAAGTTAAAATTCAAAAAAATTAAGAGAATATTAAAATTTTAAAAAGTATTTCTAAGCGAGTCTAATAAGATCATGGAATATAGAATTAAATAAAAGTACTTGCCCATCTTTCTAAATCAAATAAAATAGGTGTATGATAATATAATCCACTTTCTTTATTGTCTTACTTATTCTTACTTTTCTTATTATTCTATTGTTCTTGTCTTCTAATTTAAATTTCTAATTTTCATTTTTGAATTTAATAAAGAACGAGTTTATTACAAATTGTTTAAAGATTCAATTCGTTAGAATCCGATCCGAGAACAGGGAATTTTAGTAAAAATAGAATTTTCGGGAGAGATAGAAAGATGCAAAACTCTATATTTATATTCTATATTTTCTATATTTGAATTATATATACACACGCAAGCAACAGAGGAAGATAAAATTCGTTTTTATTTGTCTCACGAAATTCGAATTTCATTCCACAGAATCACAGAAGGAAAAATTTGATTTTTATCTTGTTGATAGAGGTTTACTCATTAGTAATATCGAATAATAATAATTATCCACAAAATTTGTTTTTCGACAAGTCCATTTTACGTCACAAAGTCAAAGCCCATTTATTATTAAAATATTGATAAAATTATTTAAAAAAACATATGAAATTCAAAAATAATTTAGTGAAATTTATAACATTAAAAACATCAGAAATTGTAAAATGATAGATTATAAATATTTAAAAAATATTTATAAAGTATTAAAATTTTTGAACATTTTCGTGAAAATTTGTTTGATTGTCTTTCGTGAGTCTGAGTTTACAACTATTCGTTGAACGTATTTTCAATGAAATCAACCTTGTATTATTAGAGTAACTATAAAATCTAAATTTTACTTCGATTTTCTATCCTAAATATTAATAAGCACACCACAAGTTTAATTAAAAAAAATATTATATAAAAATATGTGACAATTAAATATACACACACGTGGTAAGGATCATATTAAACAATATAATTTTTTTTTAATTTTACATAAATTTAGGACTGTTGGATGAGTAAAAATAGTTAACTAAGATTAACAATAGTAAATGAGAAGTTATTCACTGGAAAAAAAAATAAAGAGTTAATCTCAACCATCTATTTTGACTCATCCAACGGTCCTAAATATGTTACACAATGAGAAATTCTTTTAGTTTTATACAAATTTAAGACCGTTGAATGAGTAAAAGTAGATGACTAAGATTAATAGTAAAAAACAATAAAATATTTACTTGAAAAAAAACAGAGAGTTAATCTAATATATATATATATATATATATATATATATATATATATATATATATATATATAATATACAAATTAAACTTATAGCAAGAACATGTAATTAGGGTGAATAAAATTTAGTTGTTATTCCTATAGGTCATGTTCTAGCACCAACAACTGTAGTAGGTGATTAAGCGTTTATTATCAAATAGTTGAAAATATTTAGAATAATTAACGTAGAAAAAATAATATTTTTAAAAATTCAAAGTTAAGTGGACTGAATTAATAAAATTAGATAAGTAATTTAATGTTTTGAGTTAACCTTTTACGGTTAAAATATCTGAAAAACATATTAACATATTGGTGTAAGTACTCTTTGGGTCCACGATAATATTCAGCGGTGTATCCAAAGTATTTCGAGGGTGACACGTGTTCATTTAAAAATCTGATTTTTGTAATATTTATTAATTTTATTGATAAGGCTCATTTTAAAATTTTATTTATCCTTATCCATTTAAAAAAATTTATTATTAATATACGTGTGTCCACCTCAAAATTACTTAAAGTTTCGCACGACTTGTTACACTAAATTGGTTCTCAAATTTTCATTAATATTTGGTGTAATAAATCGAAGGAAATTTGAGTTTTATTGTTACCCTATTATAAAATTAATTCTACTAAAAGTATGTTGAAAGAAGAGGAGTAGACACAGCCTAATAAGAGATTGTTGAAAACTTTTTCAATGAAATATCAAATTTTTTAATACTTTATAAATATTTTTAAATTTTACTTTATATATTTATAACTTATCATTTTATAACTTTTGATTTTTAAAATTTATAATATTTTATAGGGTTTTTAATTTTTATAAAAATTTCAATATTTTTAAAATTTTAATAAAATTTATAATTTTTCCTTAAATATTAAAAATATTTTGTATTTTCAGTTAAAATCAATTATATTTTTGAACTCGACTAAAAATCAATTAAACTCTTTTGTTATTTCATCATTCACATATGGATTGTTATGTCATCAGAATGAATTGTGGCATTAGCATAGTTAATTGGCATGTCAACATCGTAACAGATAGATCATCAAAAGATGACTTTAACACAATTAAATCAGTTTTAAAAAAAACTAATATAATTAGTTCTCAAATTTTCATTAATATTTGGTGTAATAAATCGAAGGAAATTTGAGTTTTATTGTTACCCTATTATAAAATTAATTCTACTAAAAGTATGTTGAAAGAAGAGGAGTAGACACAGCCTAATAAGAGATTGTTGAAAACTTTTTCAATGAAATATCAAATTTTTTAATACTTTATAAATATTTTTAAATTTTACTTTTATATATTTATAACTTATCATTTTATAACTTTTGATTTTTAAAATTTATAATATTTTATAGGGTTTTTAATTTTTATAAAAATTTCAATATTTTTAAAATTTTAATAAAATTTATAATTTTTCCTTAAATATTAAAAATATTTTGTATTTTCAGTTAAAATCAATTATATTTTTGAACTCGACTAAAAATCAATTAAACTCTTTTGTTATTTCATCATTCACATATGGATTGTTATGTCATCAGAATGAATTGTGGCATTAGCATAGTTAATTGGCATGTCAACATCGTAACAGATAGATCATCAAAAGATGACTTTAACACAATTAAATCAGTTTTAAAAAAAACTAATATAATTAAAAAATATAAAAAAATATTAATTTGAATTTACTACCCATGCAATTATATTTCATGCCAGCGTTTAGACATGTAATCATAATACATTTGTATCAAGTAATCTTTCCTTAAAGATTTTGAGGTTTGGCACTGTCAGGTCAGCAAGGACTATCTGGAATTAGCCACATCTCATTTGCCGAGGAAGAGAGTATTTACCCAAGAAGCCGACTACTCTTCCCGAGGTGGCGAAGCAGCGTGAGCTAAGTGGAATACTAGAAAGCGAGGATGCAAAGTTGAAGAAGCAACTCTCCGAGGCAAAGTGCAAGGACCTCTGTGGACATGACATCTTTGCACCTCCACCTGAAATTTTACCGAGGCCAACAACAGTACGTGCATTGGCACTGAAGGACAATTTTGACATGGGAGAACCTAATACACGTAATGTAAGTACATGTTAAAACTCTTAAGTCTTAATTGTGTTAAAATCCATAATTGTAGGCATATATGTATTACGTATAATGTACTACTAGGTTGTTGGTCATGAACTATCGTATGCCTTTTTTTGTATGGATTAGTTTGGTAACAAATAGCACTTAAGATTGTTTGGAGTCCATAGTTCCTATTTGAGGTTTGGTTTTTGCAGCCATTAAGCACTCAAGTTTGTGATGAATTAATTACCTTTTTTATCAATAATTAAATATGAAATTGAATTTGGATGTTATTTTGTAGCCTGCTGGAAGTAGCATGTCAAAGTGAGGAGGCTGCAGTTAAGACGGCAAAGAAAATTCATAATCAGAAATTTGCTGAGCTCTCAGGAAATGGTATATTTAAGGGTGATGACCCTCGGGGTTCTGCCGAGAAGCCACTCAGTGCCGCGAAATTATGGGAGATGAGTGGCAGTAACATCTTTGCCGATGGGAAGGTGGAGTCTCGAGACTACTACGGTGGCATACGCAAACTCCCGAGCGGTGAAAGCAGCATTGCTCTGGTTTAGCTTCTTGTTAGCTCTCCAACTCTCTTATATTACTTCTGCTGTGTCTGGTGTTCATCTATAGTGGGGTGTGATTATATTATATGACTTTTCCATTGTGGGTTTTGGGATTATGTTTTAGGTCGCGTTTGGTTCGCATAAATCCCTTGGAATTAGGGGGAATTAGAATTCAATTCCACCACTTTCCCATGTTTGGTTCAAGTTTTCCAAAGGAATTGGAATCTCTCATGGCTTCAACTTTCCATCAAATGAGGAAAAGCAAATTCTATCCATTCTATGATGGAATTCAATTCCCTTGTTGGAGGGAATTGAAATTTGATTATACTACCCTCATCAATCTTTTGGTAACTTATTCATATATTGAACAAAAATATTTTTTTATTATTTCGGATCGGGTTTCTAATTCATATATTCGGATCGGGTCGAGTTCGGGTTTAGGGTGAAAAATATCCGACCCGAAAATGTATATAATTTTATCTTATATATTTAAGAATAATTATAATAATACCCCTCTATATATAAATTTTTTCAATTAAGTCACTGTTTTTATTGAATAAAAATATTTTTTTTATTATTTCGGGTCAGGTCGGGTCGGATTTCTAATTTATATATTTGGGTCGGATAAAACTTTATTTTGGTAGGGTCGGGTCGGTTTTTTTTAAGTGTGATATTCGGGTCGGGTTTAGGGTGAAAAATACTCGATCCGACCCAACCCAAAAAATATATAATTTTACCTTATATATTTAGGAATAATTACAATAATATCCCTCTATATATATTTTTTTTCAATTAAGTCACTGTTTTTATTGAATAAAAATACTTTTTTATTATTTCGGGTCGGGTCAGGTTTCTAATTCATATATTCGGGTTGGGTCGGGTGAAACTTTATTTTGGTCGGGTCGGGTCTCGGATGGAGGTTCCCTTGTTCTCGGATTGGGTCGGGTGGACCAAAAACCTGACCCAACTCGACCCATGGTCATCCCTAATTGGGATGATTTTAACTTATGATGTTTATTAGCATGATTTTTATAATTTATTAAAATGAATAATCAATCAATAAAATTAAAATTTATTTTTTAAAAATTTTTATAATATATTATTACATGTAATTTATAAAACAAACTAAAATTAAGCAAAAAAAAAACAAAAAGGGCAATCCTGTTATTTTACATTACTAAAATCAAATTCATCTGGCATGTCTGCGAACCAAACTGAATATGGAATTGAATTCCAATTCAATTCATGTCAACCAAACAGAATATGGAATTAGATTTCAATTCCTGACAGATTCCAATTTCTTCACAGATTCCAATTCCCTCATAAACATTCCAACGAATCAAACGCCACCTTAGGGTTAGCAGGTCAACATGAGCTGTGGACATATGCTAATTGCTCTCTTGTCCCTAATCTTGTGTTTTTCTGTACCATCTTGGTGAAGGCCTTGGGCTATTTCAGATTTTGATTATGTTGATTAGTGCCACATTTAATCATTACATTGTTTTCGTAAGTTCAAAAATTTGACCTACATACTTGGACATATGTACTAACACTACAATTTTTTTATTTGTGGATGGACACATAAAATGAATTATTAACCGAAAGAAATTCGAATTTTATGATATGCACTTGCTCATCTTAAACCCTACTTCAAAGCATACATGACTCGTTACAGTCGTTGGTTTATATAACCCAAATTACTAACAGAATGAAACGAGTCAACAAACTAACAATTTTCTAACATTGATTAAACAAAGATTGACAAACTAATTCATCTACTTATCTTTAACATGATTCTCTAGAGGATTAGTCCATAATGAATGTTTTGAAGAAACACTGTAAGTGTGTTTTTGAGAATTTCAAAAGTTATGTTTAGAGAAAGTTTGAAGTAGTCAATATAAACTATTTGAAGAAAAGAATAACTACAATAATATTGTATGCGAAACGTCTATGACAATCTATAAATTAAAAAAAAATGAGGAATAAATTTTAATATTTCTTAAAAGACATTGGATTTGCAAAATAAATCTTAATATTAATATTACAACTACACTGCCAAATATTAATATTACTCACTCCAACTCCTAGCTTTCGGATATGATCTAATTGCGTCAGGTTACCAGTTACTTTCATCACTGCTTACGCTCTCTTTTAACTCCCAAAGCTAAAAATTAAATCCTACTTTGTTTGAATGAGAAACATTATTCCCAAACCTCATCATCATACCTGAAATATATATATATACACACACACAAACACACACATGCTCATCCTGAAATTTAAATTTTCTTCGATTAGTTATCTATTTTATTGATAATATCTATCTTAAAATTTTATTTATGTTCAACCCATTAAAAAATTTATAATATTAATATATATGTCTATCGTTAAAAAATATTCTAGATCCGTTATTGGTGTATATATATATTGTTGGAAAAATGGTAGATTTAATTGTTGGATTTAATATATATATTAAATTTATATTCCTTTTGACTATTGCGAATTAAATATAATATTTAATTTGAATATTAGAAGATAATTTCTCTTTTAATATGTAAATTTAAAAAGGTATTTGTAATCTTTTTAACTTTGAATATTAAAGATAGTTATATATTTTTGTACATTTTAAATTAAAATAATATTTATTTAAGTTTGAATGATAAAAGGGGTTTTATCTTTTGAATATTTCAAATTCAAGGATATTATTATATGTTTAAAGTTGAATATTAAAATATATTTGGTTGGATTAAACCTCTCTTGAAAATCTCCTATAAATAGTGAGTTAAACTGTTAAGTTAATCATAAGTTACAAGTTTTTCACAAGTTTTCAAGAACTTCTCTTATCTTGAAAAAGTTTTCTCTTCCACTAGTTTTTTTGGTGATAGTCGAAGGCAAGAATCGTTCGTGATCTATGTAGATGTGTTACTGTAGCTGATCATAAGTTGTTGTATCCTGAGAGAAAGACAACCAACGAACTCGAGCATCAAAGGAATGGCCGAAAATTTGTCTCAAGGAAATTGTGCAGCGAAGGCCGTAACTGATTCCGATCTCAACTAATCAAAATAAAAGGAGTATTTTTCTTTCTATTTAATTTTGATTTACTTTACGAAGTTTAACTTCTTTGTTTGATTTTCCCATGTTTGATTTCGTCTCAGATTGTTACTTCGGTTAACAATCTTAAGACTGTAAACTCATTCATTCCCTTTAATTTTTATAATGATTTTATTATCATTATTATTTTTCTATATTATTCTCGGATTAACTATCATTTTTAACAATCTTAAGACATATTTTATTTTCTTATTTTTCTAAGATGATATATAATTCGTGAGTTTAATCCTTTTTGTGTACAAAGAAAGTGCCAAAAATTCGGTAAAACAAATACTAGGCGAAAATCAAGAGAAATTTATGCCAAAGTCCCCAATCCTAGCCTTGTTAAGGACTTTAGGCCCATTTCATATTGTACTGTTGTTTATAAGACTGTCACCAAAATTCTAGTAAATCGTCTTTCTTCTGTCTTCCCTGATATGATAGCCCTGAATCAAATTGCATTTGTGAAAGGGAGAAGCATAGTAAACAATACCCTCTTTGCCCAGGAAATTGTGAGGGGTTACTCAAGAAGCAAAGTCTCCCCTAGATGTGCCCTTAAAATAGACTTGCAAAAAGCCTTTGATTCCTTAAATTGGGACTTTATTGATGTGATTCTACATGCCATGGGATTACCTGAGAAATTTATAGGCTGGACTTGGGTCTGTTTAGCTAATCCTAGATACTCAGTTGTCTTTAATAGCAGTCTTGTGTGTTACTTCAAAGGTGCTAGAGGTGTAAGGCAGGGTGGTCCCTTATCACTCTATATTTTTGTTCTAGCTTTGAATGTTCTGTCTAACTTTCTTAATCTGGCTGCTGCTAAAGGAGTTTTGAGTTATCATCCTAAGTGCAAGAGAATTAGTCTAACCCACCTATGTTTCGCGGACGACCTCCTCATTTTCTGCAAGGTCTCTATAGATTCTGTTATGGGTGTTCAGGCTGTGCTAGATTATTTCTACTACATGTCAGGGTTAAAGTTCAATGCCAGCAAATGTGAGATGTTTGTTGCTGGAATTCCTGGTGAGCAGCTCATTGCCATTAAGATGATCACTGGTTTCAAATTGGGTAACCTCCCAGTCAAATATTTGGGAGTCCCATTAGTTAACAGGAAGTTGACTGTGAAAGATTGCCAAAGTCTCATAGATTAACTTAGGGCAAAGCTAAGTCTATGGGCAAACAAGCACCTCAGTTTTGCAGGCAGACTGCAACTTATTCGCTCGGTTCTGCTTAGTATATCAAGCTACTAGTGTAGGCAGCTTGTACTGCCTCAAGCAATTATTAAAAAAGTTGAGCAATTGTGTTCCCGTTTCTTTTGGAAAGAGCCTGATATCTCTACCAAAGGAGCCAGAGTCAGCTGGAAGACTTTGCCTGCTGAAATCTAAAGGGGGACTGGGGATTCACGATGTGGGGGGATGGAACAAATCTTGCATAGTTCAACTTATCAGAAAACTTTTGGCCAATGAAGGCTCTCTTTGGGTGGTTTGGATATGTTCTTATGTTATCAAGGAAGCTGATTTCTGGCAGATGGAAATCCCTATGAATGCAAGATGGAGCTTCAAGTATATGTTGAAATTAAGGCCTGCTGTTGCTCATCTCTTTCTGGGCCAGGTTCGTGATCTTAGTGTGAGGTACATATGGGAGGAACTACGTTCATCTGCCCCCAATGTTGCTTGGCATTACATGGTATGGTTCTCTGGACGTATCCCCAAGCACACCATTATTGTATGGATGACCATATTGAACAGGTTGCCTACTCGGGTTAGGCTCCTACAAATGGGCCTTGCCATTGAATCTGATAGTTGTTTACTTTGTGGCAATGTGGCAGAGACAAGAGACCATCTCTTCTTCGAATGTCATTTTACCAAGGATCTTTGGAGCTCTATTCTGGAACTTTGATGCATCCCTCGTGAAACTTGTAGCTGGGAGGGAGAACTGGCCTGGGCCTCTTTGTTACTCAAGGGCAATTCTCTCATCGTGAGAATACTTAAACTTGTTTGGACTGGTCATGTTTACAGTATTTGGAAGGAAATAAATAGTAGGTTGTTTGGGAGTAGAGCCAGATCAAAGGAAGAGCTACTAGGAGACATCAAGGAGACAATCCGATTACAGTTGGGAGACAAATCCTTCAACACAAGTGATCCATCCAATATTGCCCTATCTGTAAAATGGGGCATTGCTTGAGTAGGTCCTGCTTTTATATTTTGCTTGGTTTGTTGGTGATTGTAATTTGCTTAGCTTTGCTATTCAGCTGATTTTGTCATTGTATACTGTAGCAGATTTCTGCTTCTTGGGTAATGGAATTGAATTATCCAAAAAAAAAGTTTCCTTTAATTTTTGAATTTATGAATGTCAAATTCTTTGAGGAATATTTTTGAATTTAATTTTAATGTGAGTTATGACTACATTAATTTATGTGTTGGGATTCAAACAATTGGATTCCAAAATCTTTGTAAGATCTTTGTGGGGGCACACCTTAAATCTTGAAGGTTTAAGTTTTGGTTGACAGTGATAAAATAAATCAAGTAGGTGAAATCTGAATATTTCCCTTTAATCTGAAACTATTCAGAACTCTTTCTTCTACCTATCTTTAATCTGAAACGATTCCGATAATGTGATAAAATGAGATAGCAAACAAATTTGTTTCGAGATTTATCCTGCCGTCTTAACGAGTTTTCTAATATCTCAAAGTGGACAAATATGTATAACAGAAATTGTCATGAAAGTAACTGTGGTTACTGATTTTGTTTCAGAATTATGATTCTTTTCGATAACAAAATCGAAAATAAACAAGAATTAATTTTATATTTATTAGAATCTTTGATTTTGTATTTGAAATCAATTGTGATTTTAATTTTTTCGCGTAACAGAATTATTTGATTCTATTAATAGAAATAGTGGGAAAGTAACAACTTTGTTACCGATTTGTTTTAGAATTTTAGTTCATGACTAAATTCTATTGATTAAATCATAATTTTATTTTGGTTTATTGTTGGAATTATTATTAATTCTAATTTGGTATGTTAAACGAAATCATGATTGTTGGTGCTAATATACCACAATGAGAAGCTTTTAAAATTCTAAAGATAGAATTTTAAGATGTGATAACATTTGATGTTATTTTATTTAGCCATGGTGAATTTGACCAAATGTAAGATGATCCTCCTACTATTAGAGAGGATGAGGTAAACATTGCTACCGAATACACTAAAATTTAGAAATATTATGACTTTCTATATTGGAAATACATCTTGAAAGTATAGTATCCATATGGTGGACAAAAGAATTATGGATAACATTGGACCATAGATGCGAACCGAAA